TATAATTTGTATTTCAGACTGCTATGGTTCACTGATTGTAATTCTCTATGTTCTCTTTCCTATTATGTATTAAATGTTATTTTAATGTTGTAAATCCCATAATGCCTATGTGTAAATTATATATATATGTGTGTGGCTTGAAGCTGATTCTCTCAATAAATAAAGAATTAACTTTGCAAAACTCTGTTAACCTTCTTCATTATTACATTTTACTTAATCCAGTTCTTCTGTAATTTCAGATTTTTCAATTTCTCCAATGTTTACATTCCAGTCACTAAGTTATATTAGTATGCTTTTTCCAAATATTGCATTTAGCCCTTCTCAATTTTGCACTTAGTATTTTTTTAGTGTTTTTTACCATTGCCCCCTTAAGAAGTGTACATTTTTGTACAACATTAATGTTAGATGACACCTTTTGAGTTATAACTAAACACATACTTGCAATCCTTCTGAACTATCATTAACATTCTTTTGGCTGGCTTCATGCCGTGATACATATTATATTAACTGAGTTGAAGAAACCCTGTTCATTTATTTCAAAAATATTTTCATTTCAAAAAAGTTGTTTTTCTTTGTTCATTCTTCTCACATTCCATGTGTTTCAATTACATCTCTCCTTGTAAAATGAGAAAATCCTCTTTCATTAACTGACTAGATTTCTTTGTAGGTTTGATCTGACTACATTATCGTTTCCAGTTCTATTTTGAAAATGAATGTCTTTCTACTTGGAATCTCTTCACCTATCATATAAACTTGTCTCAATGTTCCAGCCATGTCCATACATTTGGCTTGGAACTATGCAGAAATCATTTGCCACTGGTTTGATTTTGGAATTCCTTCTTTTAGTAGCATTATCTTCCCTTAGATCTATGAGCCTTACCTGTCCTTTTCCTTATTGTGGAGGATTACTGTTAATGTTACACCACTCATTCCCACCATCAGCAAGGGCCACCTGACATGGAACTCCCACTCCCATCTGCATTACTATCAGAATCAATAAAGCTATTGATGCTACTCCACCATAACAGGTCAGTATTTTTTTCCTGCATTTCAGCAAGTGTTTTGAATAAATTGGTTACTTTTTTGAAAACATACAAAGTCTCTGCTTTTGGGACAGTTCACATATTTTTCCTCCATAAAGAGGGAATCTAGCATCAAGTTGGTAATCTTGGATCTTAGAAAATTTTTAAGAGATCATGGTTTTAAACAACATGGCTATTTAATTTATTAACATACAACTAAAGTATATTTCTGCTAATATCAAGTTTCTTTTTGTCTTGAAGATATATCTTTTTCATTATTTTTCAGCATAACTAAATCACAATTCAATCAATCCATCAATCCTAGGGCTTGCAAATCAGAATGCTACATGTTTTGCTCCCTGTGGTGAAATTCAGTGGTGAAATTCAATTTTTTTACTACCAGTTCTATAGGCATGGCTTGGTGGGCGTGGCAGGGGAAGAATACTGCAAAATCTCCATTCCCTCCCCCCCCCCAGGGGAAGGATACTACAAAATCCCCACTCCTGGAGGAAGGATATTGCAAATTCTCCATTTCCACCCCACTCTGGGGCCAGCCAGAGGTGGTATTTGCCAGTTCTCCGAACTACTCCAAATTTCTACTACCAGTTCTCCAGAACCTGTCAGAACTTGCTGAATTTCACCCCTGCTTTAATCTACCCGTTTTCAATCTAAAAAGTCAATTTATAATATACTTAATGGCCAGCAAATCAAA